CACAGTTTATTACTAGAGAAGGTTGTCCATGCTCTATGAAACCTCACCGATAGTGTCTGACTCTGTCAGCATTCACGGTTGAAGTTCTTTTTGCAAGTGTCTTATCAGAAGCAGCAGCTCCTATGACAGAATGATAAAACTTTCTGAGTGGAACAGACCAAGTCCCACAGAAATACCACATTTCTGTCTAGAAACTAGGTTAAGGACTTCAAATTAATTTCTTGATAAACTGACCTAACCTGAAAGCAGTAAAAAAAAACTTTATTTTTAGCGTATAAAATCAACAGCAAAACCATTTGGTTTGCTCACAGATGATCAACAGGTGATCATTTGTCATTAAAAATATATGCATGTTTTCCACTACATTCATTCTGCCAGGGTGGAGCGCCATACCAAAATTCATCCCACCACGGCTTCATTACAGCTTCTCTCTCAAAACATTCAGTCAATGTTGTTGTTTTTTTAATAGCGGGTTACCATTACACCAAACGCATTAAAAGGTAGGTGAATTATAACAGCGCAAACTTTTCTGTAACTGTAGTAGTCCTGTGCGTTATTTGTTTAACCCTTTAAAGCCTGATTTATACTTCTGCGTCAGGTGACCGGCGTAACCCACGGCGCATGCAACGCGCGTGGCTGTGCATTTATACTTCTGCGCACTGTCTCTGTTGGTCTGCATTAACACTTCCGAAACGCTAGTTGGCAGTGAGGTGTAAATGTTCCTCTGTGTCGAGTTTCTTCTATGCTTTTTTGCATTTCCTGAACACTTCAGGGATGTACAAGTGGCTCAAACTCGCTCATTTTGAGGCAGGAACCGGCGGACGTGCAACAGCTTTAACTATGAGGTAAACACAAAACAAATCTTTCCATCCGGAGCTCCTTCACGGGACTCCACAGCTTGTAAACAATCGCTCGCGCCATTCGTGCGGCTCTCGGTCCCGCCCAGACTCGTCAGCGCTACCAAGCCGACCAATCACAGAGCTTACGCTACGTGTCGTTGCGACATGTAGTTACATTTTTTGAGAAGTGCACGTCAGTGACGGCGATGGCCACAGCGAAGGGCTATGCGTCAGCGCCGTAGCATACGCCGGCGTTTGACGCAGAAGTATAAATCAGCCTTGGTGACGTGCTGACTGACTGACAGGAGCATGATGCGTGAGGCAAGCAAACACGACATAGCTTTCAGTTAAGATGAACACAGATTCCATAATTATACTTTATTTATAGATAAAGGTCTGTGGTTCTGCATACAAAGAACCTTCTTTTATCTTGCTGGAGTTTATTGCATTTTCACTTTACTTTAGGGCGCATTATTGCCACTCTGTAGATCTATTGGAGAAATTTATAAACAGCAAATCTTAAAAAATAATGGAGACATACTTGTTACATTAACTGCACTTCAGCAGGGTTTATTTGGAATCGCACAAGAAGATCTGTGCTTGAGCAGCGTATATTTGAGGGCGTGCAAGAAGTTTTGTGCACGAACAGAGGAAATCGGCGCGCAAGCAAAGAGATTTGTATGCTCATACTGAATAAATGCAATCTCTGCTTGTAATACTGCGCTCACAACATTTCTCCATTTGTCATTTAAATAATGCCATAGGTAGTTGGTAGATTTGTAGAAAAGACCTGCTGCCACAGCTGGAAAAATTCCTAGAGGAAACACTGAAATGTATTGAAAATTAAGAACAGACCCACTCAAACTTGGACTTCTGTTCACCTGACATACACAACATTTGCCCTTCATCCCAAATTGTTTGCCTGTGCCAAATCACAATCTGTGCTGGCACCTTTAACCAGCTTTGTAGAAGCTTGGGGATTGTATCCAGTATCCAGATAAGAAAACCCCATCTCTGGCAAGACACAATGTAGGTTAAGACTCCATTGGAGATATCCCTGTTTGTGTAAACTCTTTTTGACCGTTTAAACTAATGCTACATATACACAATATTAAAACTATTCTGCCATCTTATTAACCTCTTAATAACAGGATGTGCTTTATCTTTAATAATCAAGTTAATCAACATTATCAATCCAAAGGCTTAGCGTTGTGAAAGCTTTTCATGGTATCATTTGTTTACCTAACAATGCATTTGCAGATCAGACCTCTAATTTATAGGCTGTCATGCAGAGCTGTGGTTAATCATTTGTCAGACCACTGCAAGAAAGAAAGTCCTCACATGGGACTCACTAAGGTTTCTCAGGAAGCACTTCAAGTATATTTCGAAATCAATTAGATACCGTGGCAGTAATGCTGTGGTTGAGAAAGTAGGCAAAAGATCATTCACTGTGTTTCATTTAGACAAGGTACACGGCCAGAACTTGCTATAGCTACACGATGAGGAGATTGGTGGTCCTAATTACTTGAGCTGTGTAATTTAAAGCAAACAACCCACAAAGTATGGTTTGAATTTTGCAAATGTATGGTTGGTTATCCAATAAAGTCCGAATTAAATGCATTTGTACTTTTTAGACTCATTTGATGGGCAAGTTCCCAATCCACTTAAATGAGTCTTCTTATGATTTATTATTTCCCCATGCAATTAATGACCAATGATGTTTACATGATCAACAAAATATACAAAAAAACTTTCAGTTTCACAATGACATTTTGCAAACCTTTAAAAAAGGGTTTCAAAGTACAAGTTTCTGAAATCAATGCCTATATCGTGCCTGTGTAAAAAAAAGTGATTTTGTGTAAACTAACATGCAACATTGAGCATTTTCCAACATTTTCCAAACAAATCAAACAAGTTTTTAAAGCATTATCAGTTATTACGAATACATTTTGTGGAAAATATGTGAAAAAAATGGAAATATGTGGAAAGGTTTTTACCTTTGAGATTACATATGTTGCATTCTATGGCAGATTACAGGACTCTACAGAGAATGGGAATGTGTTGTTACAGCACAATGCATTACAGATATTTAGGATATAGGATCCTAATACCCATTGATCAATTGATAAATTTACTGCATCATACACAATATTTCTGTTCATCAGCAATAAATTGTAAACACTGACACTACAAATTAAAGAAGCAAATAATGTATTGGAATTGTTTTTGTGGCAGATTGTTAATATTCTGACACTTACAGGTAAAACTGTTCATTTATTTGATCCACTTCAGCGCTGGAGACTGCATATGCTGAAACGCATATTTTCAGCTTCCCAGACACACAAAGAGCATTTATAAACATACAAACAATATTACTATAAAAAGTCTGATTTGTTTTAGTTTACATTGTGCGCTACTTAATGTGTCCAAAAACATGGTGGAGCACAACTTGGCATGTCATAGATTCCCATTCTCTATTGTCAACTCTTGACCTGGGATACAGTACTTTAGTCATTTAGCAGACCATTTTGAAGACAGTGTCATTTCTGTGCATAAGTACTCAAAAATGCAATAAATAAATAAATAAATAAATAAGCAAAGGTCCACCGATTTAATATTTTTAAAAAAATCAAATTAATTAATCTAAATTTCCACCCAACAAGCATTGATCGTGCCATTAAGTCTGCACAAAATATCGCTTCAGCATCAATATCGCAATGTGCACATCCACAATAGTCACATCGCAAAGATATGCAATGTCCAGTCCGAATTATAGTTGACCTGTAGATACAAAATTGTATTTAACCGCTGTATTTATAGGATTTTTTTAATATATATATTTTAACAAAATAAAGGTAAGAAAAGCATTGTTTTGCATTGTGATTATTTAATTTCTGTATCTGAATACTGTTAGACTTCCCAGAAATCTGTCAAATAGTGCTATTTAAGTCATCTTCTGAAACTCTACTCGTATCGCAATATTTATCACAGAAAAATAAAATATCGCAATATCACATTTTTGCAATATATCAAGCAGCCCTAGGTGCCATAAACCCATTTTATTCAGGCTTACTTCATATTCTGTTGACATTAAAGATTCAAAAATTCAAGTCATGAAAGACAGCTATTATTATAACGTCTATGAGTGATGATTTACTATGACAGGCATATAAAGAAGCAGCCATTAAAGTGACTGAGACGGAGGAGGAGTCTGTCCTCAGATAACCTCCAACACAAGGCTACAACATGACTGTTCTCCAGTCTGAGCAAAACATGACGACATACAGGTGCATAACATAAACTACAAAGTACAAACACACATAACTATTTACAGACAGATTTACATACATTAAAATGATTTTCCTTAGAGATTTCAGTTTTATGGAGTTAACGTTCTCAGACAGGATCTGGATATGTAAGCAGCAATGATTTTCAGTTAAGAAACTATGACTAAAGTCATAACATAAAACACAGAACTAGTAATTAAACGAAACGTTTCTTCAAAAGCGTGGAAAGGACTCGCATGTTGACCATAACAATGAGCAGACAAACCAGCCAGCGGTCAACAACGGTCACCGCACTGTTATTTTCCAGAAATGACTTACAGTAACAGAGCATGATGACACAAAAGCGCGAGCACGTGTGCCAGTGACACAGACCTACAGTTACAGTGATCCTCCATTATCTGTGCCTGCTGGACTCATCCCTAACATTCAGCACATCAACACATTTCAGTCAGACCCTTCTCGGTGATTATGACTGCTTCAATTTGTGAGGCTACACGGTTAGCTTGTTAGCTAATCACTTAAGCCCCTCGTTTAACCGGTCGTTTAATAATCTCGAGTCCGAGGATTTAGAACTATTCTGATTTACACATGATTTCACAGAAAACACATGGCAGGTTTTGGAAACATCTGAAATCAATAGCGAAGTTGAGAATATTAAAGTCACAAGGCCTTGACTGCTTTAGCTGTGTAAATAAAACAAAACCGGTTACTATGCGCCTACATCAGTTACGTTACTATTTGACAGTTGGTTAATGCTTCATAATTATCATAATACATACGGTAGAATTATTACGGTTAGCCATTTGTGTGTACAAAATGATCAAATAACCCAGACACTTATCTACCCCCTTTAACATTTAAAAGGCAGTATTACCTTTTCTGAATTCGTTCTTTAATGACCTGGATGTTTTCAACAACGGAGTCCGAGATCTGGTGAGCAAAATCGATGCCATTCTGTTCCTGTCTGTGTGGATGCAACGGCGTCAAACGTTAATGTAAGGTTTACAGTAACGCTGGGTGGACGTACGAAGGTAATAGGCTGGCGGTTTATGAACTATCCACAGAAGTCATAGTCCCGAGCTCTTGGTTCATGTCCTTGTGCCCTCCTCGGTGATTCAAGCGATGAGTTTGCAGGCGCTCGGCGTTTGCTTCCGTCTTCCTGTAGATAGAGCTCCACCAGCAGGGGGCGCGGTACAGCCGCAGCTCATGAGTGACGTGACTGACCGAGAAGAAGCGGGACATCGCCACCAATCATGAGGCTGGGGCCGGACAGGAATAAAATAATATATAGGGCTTTATTGGTAAACCAAAAAAGGGTGTGTTTATATCATTCAGGACAGGTATTCGAAAGCATTTCTGGACGATGATGTACAGGTACTTAAAATGGTACACGTTTAGTAGTTAGCAATGACCGATTCAAGTAAGTGATGAAAATTTATGATTGATTAATAAAAGCAACTGTTTTGAAAATAAATGAATAATCGTCAAGGAACGTGGAAGGAAATTGTTGTAAACCTTTTCGAAACAGCAGTCATTTTGATGGTTTGTGAACCCTGACCAGCCATGTCTATTATATAGGTCTTGGCGCCAATGTTGCCAGATATCCGTAAAAAAACAAGCAAACTGGTCTTTATGGGGTTTCAAACTAACGTTAGAGTACAGGGAACTTCAGGGCCACAAGGGAGTGCTGTGGGATCAGTGGAAAAGCATGAAAATAAAAAACTAATAATATTTTTTGATCGAAATAATCAACCACAACCATTGTATTACATAAATAAACTGTATGGTAGAAAAGCATTAAAATAATACAATGATACCAAATAATCACAAGGAAGTTGCAAAGTAATGCATACAAATGTTACCTAATATACGTTATGCAAAAGTTGATATATATATATATATATATATATATATATATATATATATATATATATATATATATATATATATATATATATATATATATATATATATATATATATATATATATATATATATATATATATATATATATATATATATATATATATATATATATATATAATATTTAGAGGCATGTGGCACTGAAAAGATTGTAAATCTTTAATAAAACACTATTTAAATATGTGACTTATTTCAAGAAAATAAATATTAATAATAAACAACTTCAGGTTTTTATTTACATCCATGGGCATTCATTGTGTGATTCGCCTGTCTACTCACTTTTAGCATAAATCATTCATGTATTAATTTTCTTGTCGGCTTAGTCCCTTTATTAATCTGGGGTCGGCACAGCGGAATGAACCGCTAGCCACAACCCATCTCTGGGAAACATCCACACACACATTCACACACACCACACACACACTCATACACTATGGACAATTTAGCCAACCTAATTCACCTGTACCGCATATCTTTGGACTGTGGGGGAAAACGAGCACCTGAAGGAAACCCACGCGAACGCAGGGAGAACATGCAAACTCCACACAGAAACACCAACTGAGCCAAGGCTCGAACTAGCGACCTTCTTGCTGTGAGGCGACAGCACTACCTACTGCGCCACTGCTTCGCCCCCTAGCATAAATCAGAGATACTCAAACTAGGACCCGCAGTACGGTAACTTTTGATTTGGCACTCCATCCAATCTGAGAAGAGAGAGAATAATGGGGAATTTTTGGGTGGAATGCCTTTAACAGAGATTGTCATTTTAATTTAACATAACTTTTTGTTTAACTATTGAGCTACAAAAAAGCAAACTGAAATTGAATGTTTCAATTAAATGTTGTAAATGAATCAGATTTGAAATAAATAAATACAGTCATTTGATAGATAGCGTACATGGCAGAAGACAAGCGAATTAAGGCAAAGTGTATTGTTAGTGTTATTTGAAAAAAATTTCATGTTTTTTTATTATAAGATGTTCATTTTAAAATGTATAATTATTAATTCAATCATAGTATTTTAAATGTAATAAATTATAGTACTGGGCAGCACGGTGACGCAGTAGGTAGCACTCGCCTCACAGCAAGAAGGTCGCTGATTCGAGTACCGGCTGGTTCAGTTGGCATTTTTGTGTAGAGTTTGTATGTTCTCCCTGTGATCGTGTGGGTTTCCTCCGGCTGTTTCCCCCACAATCCAAAGACATGTGCTATAGGTGAACTGAATAAGCTAAATTGGCTGTAGTGTATGCATGTGAATGCAAGACTGCATGGGTGTTTCCTGGTGTTGGGTTGTGACTGGAAGGGCATCCACTGCGTAAAACATATGCTGGTTAAGTTGGCAGTTCATTCTGCTGTGGCAACCCATGATTAATAAAGGGACAAAGCCGAAAATAAAATAAATGAATGAATGAATAAATATAATAAATTATATAATGAATTATAATAACAAATTAGGAAATCACATTGACAACTTTACGGTTTGGTATATTTACCTCTGGCCTACCAGCCTCAATCAAGTTTAGTTTTTGGCCTTTTATAAGAAAAAGTTTGGGCACCCCAAAATTATAAACCCCTTTAGGCTAATTTTTTATATATTTGTTTATATTTGATAGCCTAATTACCCTAACATGTTATCCTATTTAACCTAGTTAGGCCTTTAAATGTCACTTTAAGCTGTATAGAAGTGTCTTGAAAAATATTTATTCAAATATTATTTTCTGTTATCATGGCAAAGATAAATTAAATCAAATGTTAGAAATAAGATATTAAAACTATTATGTTTAGAAATGTGTCTAGAAAAGTCTTCTCGCCGTTAAACAGAAATTAGGGGAAAAAAATTAACAAGGGGGCTAATATTTCAGGTTGGTAAATAATTTTGACTTCAACTGTATATAGTATAGGCCCATATCTAGGCCACTTGATAAGAAACGTGGCCAAAGTCGTTTATAATAAGCGGATATGGCAACACTGTATGGCGCGCTTATTTTCTGGTTGCCAGACACTTTCTTTTTCTTCCTAACCTTCGATGTCTTCAAATCTTATTAACTACATAAGGACACACATATATTCAAGGTATAAATTACACACGTCGATCACACTTTATATTTTGCCAAAAATACAAATAACAAACGGCAAATAATGTTTGCCCTGTTTGAAACCAACAGCATGCACCTTGTCGGATTTTCTACGAACAACTGGCAACAAGATAACAAATTCCCTCCCTCTCTAGCAGCTGACGTCAGATGGTGAGAATTGCCCTCCTCAATTCCTCGAGCAGTGATCTGTGTCGCTTTGCCATTTTTTGAAATAAAAACAAAAACAGGTGATCTGAGAATTGCATGGCTTTGTCTGTACCCACGGGCCCGCGATGGAGTTTGGAGTACGCCGAGGATAAGTGACGATGTTCGTCGGAGAGTCCGCCGCGAACAGAGAGATATTTGAAAAGGCCGGTTGAATTGTGCAGTCGCGTGTCAGCCAATCGGATGTGAGTATTTTTGGCGCTGATTGGGATGAGAGAGTTTCCCGCAAGCTCCTCAAAACAGATCGGGAGTAACGAAGATGCTCTAAACAGGTTTATTTTCCCACTGAAATAAATCATGGCACATCTGTAACGACGGGCATTGTTGTCTAGTACAGGCTGGGGTGGAGTATTAGAGATTTTCTCTACGGAGAAACGAGTCGTTTGGTAGTGTGTCATTGACTGAAGCAGCTGCAGCTGTACCTCACTTGCTAGCTGGCTAAGCTGTAGTTCGCGAGGTTTGTCAGCTGCATTTTGAAGAGTAGATTATCCCAGAGTGGTAACAAAACGTGCCATGAGTGTATAATGTATATCACAGCCACGTTCTCAAAGATTATATAGTTATTAGTGTTACACATTTGGCACTGTATAACGTTTAGTATTGTATGCGTTCTGACGAGTGATTTCTTTGCTAACATCATATTAGCTTCATACAGTTACTTCTACAAGCGTATGACTTGATATCTTACTCTCAACTGTGTGTGCACATTTTCTTCCATCTGTGAACTACCTACCGCATTTCAATCGATATCACAATTCCCACTTAGGTGTTTAACTTTCATTTTGGTGTTTTAAAGTTTGTATTAAAAGCTAACTTAGTTCATTTCTTTTGGTTTGCTGTGGGCTATTAGGACGGTTAAAGGAGTCCATCAGTGACTCCTCCATAATGTCCCTTCATTGATGTTAACGAGGCATCCTGGCTGCTCATCCTGAATAACAATAGCTCGATAACTGCCTCTTGTTTGGGACCGAACGGACATTTGCATTTGAGCAGTCCCTTTTTTTGCATAAAGCTTTGTCTCATTTAGTTCTTATGCGGTTTTAAGTTATGTTTTATACCCCTCGCATGTTGCAGGTGAAGCGTGTTGAACTGTAGCTGATAGTAAACTCGTGCTGTGCTGAATGCTTTGGGTGTTGTATTGTATTTTCGACCAGGATTCATGTGAGGAAGAGGAGGAGGCGGGGGTTTGTGCATTGAACTGAATCAAAGCTTCTGGCCACCCACTCGCGCACTGCGAATCCTCCAAGGAAGCCATTTTAATGTGGGACCAAATCCTTACAGTCCTCAAACCCTATCCTCACTTTTCACCTGACCCCAGTGTCTCACACCAGCTCTGACTAGCTACTCTTAATTTGTGGCTATTTAGGCCCTGCAACTTGCTGCAGTCGCCACAGGTGCTGTGGTCAAAATAATACTTGCACGTTGTCAGTTTAAAAGCGAGTTCTTATCTTATTGTTTCGTGACATAAATGTTTACATTTCGTTTATTTTAGTATTTTTTTGTTGAGCATTTGTTTCTAGTACATGACTTGTAGTTGTTAATTTTATAATTTTATACAGCATTCTTTAAATGCTAATGTGCTTTTTTCATATTTAGAGTTTAGTCAACGTTTTCTTACCCAGAGACCTCTTAAAATAAACATTATATGTTATAATTATGAAAAAACAGTAAAACAGTTGTTCTGATCTATTTTATAATTTTTTAATAGAAATTTCGTTTGTAATTTTTTTATTTATTAAAATCGTTTTTAAAGTCCACTTTTTTTCAGTAACTTTTTTAAACCTTTATCTGAAAGGTTGGTTTTAAAGTACTGTACAACAGTTATATAGCAACAACAAATGTTATTTTGCTTTATGCTAATTTTTTACATTGGACCTTATGCTGAGCCAGTGTTTTTCAGCCAATGGTTATCTTCTGGTGAAAGCTTAATGTGACTATTTTCGATTTCATATGGTTCCTTATACAG